CTGCTGCTGTGTTCATTTTTTGACCTCGTCCACACCGAGTGGCCAACTTTGGCGACGTGTTCAGACCAGCTACCACGAATCTCCTCCTCTACAGCTCGCGGCTTTCACTATCTGCATATCACAGAGGGTGTTCGCGTGTGGTTTGCAGACCACGACAGGGCGTAGTGAGGAGGGGCTCGCGATCGGCGACAACTCGCGTGCTAGTTCAAATATTCTGCTGCTGCTGTGTTCTGAGTGGTGGGGCATTTTTTTCTACTTCTTCATTTATTAACGCATACGGAGTGCTGACAACAACGATTCGCATCAACAACATCGCATCAACAACATTTCGGGTGTGTGTACCAAAACAAAAGCAACACATATTCACGGGGGGCGCACGACCCAGCCTACTACAGGTACTTTCCGCAGCACGGGTTATGCTGTTGTGATGGTGCGCGCGGAAAAAAGTCCCCCCACTCGGGGTCTAGTATGCCATACGTTAAATAAAGTAGACGGAAGCCGCGAAGGTGGAGGGGGGAGTACCCTGGCATGTGGCGGTGCTGCAGGGAACTGAGAGGTTCATGACCTCCTGGCACGAGAAGGAACAAGAGGCCAGCCGACAACGGGCGGTCAAACGAAACCACAAGCCACCAACCAATGGGGCGGGAGGGGGGCAGGAGACGGACGAGACGGCGAGGGAAGAAAGCAAACGAGAAGAGACGGACCGAGTGGCGCGATTCGTGCCGGATTGAATTTTTTTTAGCCAGTTCCCCCCCCCCAACGCTGCTGCACCATTGCACCAACCCCCCACTGGTGATGACGTACCATTACAATGTATCGCTGGTTGATGGCCATGTTTGCGTGTTTGCTTGTCGATAGTGGTCTCTCCACCGTGTGCCTTGTTTTTCTGTCTCTTATTTCTTGTTATTTTCGGCCCGGTCCCTTGTTGTCCTCCTCTTTTTATTTCATTTTCTCTTTCCGTACTGTTTCCTTTTATTTTCTTCTCTTTTCTATCTTTCGCTTTTTTTTTTTCTCAATATGACACAACAACGAGTCCATCTCTATCATAGAAAAGAGCCATAGACAGATTGACAATGGAATCATAGCGTCAGAGAAAACTACCTGTATGTCTACGATTTCCCAGACAGCATATAGGGACATCTTCCCTGCGGGTAACAGGCTCAACAAATCAGTTTGGTAGCTGTCTTGTGTGTCTCATATATATTATGTTGGGAAGGTGCAGACGAGAGGTGTTGGGTACTGTTGGTTAGTCGGGCGTTTTGTGTGTGGCACCCTGTTAGTTGTAGGACATACAGTCTCCATCAGTTTACATACGTATTCTCAGTTTGGTATGGATATGTGCGGAGTTGTTGTTGTTTCTCACATTAGCTCTAAAAAAGAAAGATTGGGAGCCCGTGGTCTCAAAACCCGGCATACACGACCCCACGAAGAAACAGAAAAAAATAGGGTACAAAAACCACTCGGAAGAGAAACAAAATGATAGAAAGAAAGACCAGCTACCGCACCAAACGAGAAAGAGCGTCGAGGAGACCGATCAAAATAAAATAAAAGGAGAACGGGGAACGCTTCCCACACCCGCCT